TGTGATATTTTTTACATCGCGCTCACGCTTCGTAGAGATCTCTATCTTTACCATATCACGGTGCTTCTCCTTTTATTCCTCTGAAGGCGTCACGTCGCTAATAGCGAGCATGATTCATCAATAGTTTCCTCGACCACGATGTCATCTGTGATCTCCACGACCTCCACATCTTCTGGTTCGCTTTCTTCCTCAAAAGGCATCTTTCTCCGGTCATGGCGATCCAAAAACTTAACAGCTTTTTCACAGCTGCTGAACTTCTTTTGACTGTTTCCAGAATACTTTAGTGTCTCCTGCAAGGCCTCCTGAACACACCCATACGTCGACCCACTGCCACGGCATACGCTAGACCAGTCCACACGACGGTACTTACATTACTATGAACCTCAACATCTTGCTCTCTCGTGAACTTTTCAGTTTCTTCCAAAGTCGAAAACTTGCCGAACTTAGCATCAGGATACCCAACTGTAGCGTCAACAACTCGATCCCATGACATCAAAATGGCCGAGCAGCGACCACCAGTCACATCGTAAAAGTAAACGTGCTCTCTCATATCACACCAAACAAAGCCTTCTTGAGACTCGACAATTCGCAAAACGAGAAGATTGGTATCTTACGTTTGCTGCTTAAAACACATCATAAAATTAATCGTGCTAAACAGCTTTCAAATTTTCGCAAATAAAGAATAAGAAGTGCAAACTACGCGTCATTAATTTCTCTCTCTCAAGTTTGTGCTAACTTCGGTTGCCAATATCCGACGTCCACTTTGGTGCGTTCTCGAATCCGTTGGCTCCACTCTGGTAGTCACGGATAGTCTGGCGGATTTCATCCTCCGAGGTCATGACAAAGGGACCGTACTGCACCACCGGTTCGTTCAAAGGCTGACCGCTGATCACGATAAACTCAAGACCCTCCTTATCGTCCGTAGTCATATGCACGCCATCTCCTTCCTGCTCCATGACAATAGCGTGGTGAGCCGAGACGTCTTCACCTGCACACTTGCCCGAGCCAGTCAGCGTGTACACGAACGTGTTGTGTCCATGTGGAATCTTATAATCCAGCTCAGCTCCTTGCTTCATGAGGAAGTGAATGTACGTCACGGGCGCTTCGGTCTCAATCGGACCCTTTTGACCGAATACTTCACCAGCGAACACAATAGCCTCGACCTTTTTAGCGTCATCCCACACGTGGGGCACAGTATCTCGACTGATCTCCTGGTATCTAGGCTCCATGATCTTCTTGGCTTTCGGCAAGTTGATCCACAGCTGTAAACCGTGCGCTTTCTCCTCATTCGCAGGCATTTCGGCATGTAAAATCCCCTTGCCAGGCGTCATCCACTGCAGATCTCCTGGTCGGAGCTCGCCCTTGTTGCCCAGAAAGTCCTCGTGACGCATGTGGCCCTTGGACGTTGGTAGCATGTACGTGACGGTTTCGAAGCCTCTGTGCGGGTGGTCGGGGAATCCTCCGGGTAGTCCTACGTTGAATTCGTCCAACATAAGGAACGGGTCGAGATTGCGAAGCTGCTGGGAGCCCAGCGAGCGTCGCACCGTGGCGCCGACGCCCTCTCCTTGTTCACGAGCGATGAACTTGAAGGCAATGCGACGGGTGTTGAACATGTTGGCGGAGGTGGAGGTGAAGGTGAAGCTGCTAGAGGGAGCGGGGGTGGCGCTGATGGGGTTCTGAGGGGATACACAGGCGTCTCCGTTAGCTACACACTGAGCCTCGACGTCCAGTTCCACCTCGGCAACTGACGAGGCGGAGGAACTGCAAACGAATGCAGCGAGTAGATAGACAACCAGCGAGTGTTTCATTGAAGGAGAGAACTGACCTGTGTGGAGCTCGGTGGATTTAGGAATGCGCAGATCCACCGCCGGGACGCGATTCCGCTTACGTTTTCGGTAGTTCCCCACGTTGCAGACTGTTGACTGTTGATTGGTCCGATTAAAGATTACGCTAACCTACGATACTTCATGCGACCGCCGATTGATGTTTCGTACATATGTAGCTCGTCCCACTTCGGTGTATTTCTCAGAATGGGCTGGGACTACGACTCGTCTTCAAGCTCCTCCTGCTCTGGAAGCAGCACCGACATGGCGTACGGGGATTCGAGTGTACACAGTGACAACGAGCAGATGGAGGACATTGACGAGGAGGAAGATTTGGATTGGTACTATGCTGTGGTGATCGGTCGATGCAGAGGAATCTTCACGAGTGTAAAGGACGCTCTCAAACACACGCGGGGGTACTCGAACTCGAGATTCAAGAAATTCCCTAGTTTTGAGGAAGCCCGTGAGTTCCTAAACCAATACGGGCTGCAAGTTGACCACGAATACGAGCATTTTGACGGCTCAAGGCTTTGGTTCGGCTACGCAATGAACGGAGGCCGCGGGGACTTCCCAGATCCTCTGCATCCGAACTCTATTGTGGCATTTTGTGGAGGTAGCGCACTGCGCAATGGAGAAGAGGACTGTAACGCAGCATATGCCTGTGTTTTTCCGCATAAGCGAACTTGGGACGTGGTAGAATCGGTTGAGGGGCCGTGGGCGACTAATAATCGAGCTGAGTATATGGCAGCGTTAGCTGCTATGGAACGAGCCAATATTGAGGACAGGGACAAGACGAAAGTGCTATTCATTTACTCTGATAGTAAACTATTGATTGAGTCCATGAGTAAATGGATTTACCGGTGGCGTAA